AAGACTAGCAGTGTAGCAGTAGGAAACATTGCTGTCAAACTTTTGATAGCCTGAGTCTATGTCATGGACAAATGATTAAACATTTATTTCTTTATTTGTCCCCAAGTTGTTTGTTTTTGTAAACAAAACATCCTGTATTCTGGCTAGAAATTTTAGAAAACCACACAATTGTAAGCATAATTTGTTACCCATGATATTATTGGAATTTGAACTTAACTCCCTTATTTCACTTTTCACCTTTGATTCCACATACACTGTTCTTATAAGAAACATTAATGTTCTTATAATTAATTTTGTTTGAATTTAAGGGTGATGCACTTGTTGCACAACAAACAAGAAGTTGAACTTTAGTTTTGTGGAAGTGAAGGGTGAGTAAAAGATATCTATTCAGGAGAGTTTGTCTGTGGAATGTTTTGGAAATGCACCTATCATCAGCGATCTCCTGGAGGATGGAACCTTGGGTAAGGGAGGGGACCTTGCAAAGGGTGTAGTCAAAGTGCTTAATTTCCCTTTCTAGGTGGGGACAAAGGACAACCAAAGTTAAGAGATTGTCCCTCCTAGAGGGGTGGCACATTTCAAAACAAGAAGCCAAATTAAAATTTGCAGGACAAATTAAAGCTTTGCTTACTTGTGACTGAAAAGCAATACTTTCACAAGACATAAAAATATTTTATACAATGCTTAATAGTCTGCCATTTTGATCCAAGCCAACCGTGAGGAGATGGAGAAGCCTGTGTTCTTGTGTATTGTGGTCTTTTCTGTCATTTAAAACAACTTGAAGTGACTTGTTTCTGGCTCTCTGCAAAGTGCCCTGATTTTTTGTGATTGGCTGGCAAATGGGGAAGACAGGATTTTATTTGTCTGTGATTTTCCCTCAAGCATTTTCCTACAAGCAAACTTTGTTGGCTATGTGAATATCTTATTTTAGACAAGATGCTGAGCAATTGGCCTTGTTTACTTTTTACGTCTTCACAGATCTTGACAAAGTCTCAGTTCATAAGCACACAAAAATTTTATCACCTTCCAAACAAGCTTGGTCACTAACTTAAACCTCTGTTTAATTTTGTTCATCTTTATGCACCTTTCTAACAAAGTACTACTATAACATTCCTTTGTAGCATTGACAGTGCCCACAACAGTGCTGTTCGAGGATTTCTTTGTAAGGAACTGGAAAAGGAAGACAATGACTATGAAAAGTCAACTATCAAGTGTAAGTGATGTGTTCATATGATTTTCTCTTTAAAGTACATACATAAATGTGCTACTAGAGTGTGCATACAATTTACATTAAATGTGGTCACCTTGTAAGAAATTTTTTTTACTTTTGTTTATTTCATCTGAAAGTTTGTTGTCTAGAGTACCCTAAAACATAGCTTTTCAAGGTGCATAACCCATCTTGTGCCTGCCTTTAGTAGAAGACTCCTATTGTTCCTGTTGAATGAAACTTAACTTCGAAGAGACACATTTAATGCATATCAAACAATTTAATAAGTTGAATTTGAAAATGACCTAGCCTGACTTTCTCATCGAATGTTGATGTAAGGCTGCCATTTACTTGAGAGAATGAATGGATAAAATTGAGAAAAGTAGCTTTCAATGTTAGGACAAGATTCCCAGCAAAGACTTTTTCATGAATTTGGGTAATAAATAAATAATAAGCAATAATTGCTTATTATTTATTTAAAATAGTATTAGGTAAATTATTTACCTAATACTATTTTTATGTACCAGGTGCTGTGTCAAGATATTATGAAACGAAAAGACAACAATACCTCGACAATCTACCTGACAGAAGAAATAAAGCAGAGAAGACTGCTCTGCAACAAACTGATGCAAATTTCATGAGTGGCAAGGAGAATGGTGAGGGCAGTCAAGAGGATGTGTGGGTTGTGAGGTCACCACTGTGGCGTAGTCCACAGCTACTGTATCTCCTCTCTTAAAGAGACTTCAGGAGAAAATTGACAACCAGCCATCTGCCTCCTCAAGCTCACATTCTCAAAATAAAAGAGTAGAAGGAGAGCCATCCACACGCAGTCCACCAACTTTCTCACCAGCATTGGCACTCCTTCCTGGTGATAGACAGAGCCCTGAGAGGTGTCCTTCTCCA